GTATTAGTTGGGTACTTCCTGCTCAGTCTTTCTGGAAACCTGAGACTGCTCTAAATCTATTAATTGAAAAAAGAAAGACTAAGAAAAATGCATATTAGTACCTAGCAAGGGACATAGCACAAGGGAACGACTACATAAATGTTCAGTGAAAAACTGGATAAGCGAATGAATCTGTCAGTGGTAATATATCCTGTAATCACAGGACTTGAGAGGCTGAGGCAGGAGAATCTTCAGTTTGAGGCCAGTCTGGGCTACATTTCTGAGACTTTGTCTCAGAAAACTAGAAAGAATCAACCAAAGAATCAAAAGAACCCAGGTATCCTGCTTCATGGCTCAGGTCTTCTTGTATATCAGAGATGAAGACTTAGTATAATTAATTATCCAAACCAGAATATTGAGAAGGAAATGCAGTGTCCTGAGTGTAGACTAGAAATTATAAACACGCCAGAAACTACATTTTGCTTCCAAAAGTGACTTGATTATTCATATTCTTTAAATTTTTCAGTAACCCACATTTAACACTGTGGAAACTTTGCATTAAAATGTGTATTTCTGACTTCACTTGGAAAATGAAAAAATACAGACACATGGGGCATATATGCCTACCTAGTAACAAACGGCTAGATCCACTTGGCAAGCTTTTACATCTTGTTTGCCGCAAGCCCTACCCCTCCCATTTGTATGTCTTACTCTAGGCCAAGCATGGGTTTCCTTTCCTTTTTCCTTTTTCCTTTTTTTTTTTTTTTTTTTTTTGGTTTTTCGAGACAGGGTTTCTCTGTGTAGCTTTGGAGCCTGTCCTGAATCTCACTCTGTAGCCCAGGCTGACCTCGAACTCACAGAGATGCACCGGACTCTGCCTCCCTAGTGCTGGGATTAAAGGCGTGCGCCACCACTGCCGAGCTGTTTTCTTTATTTTTATAGTAGTTGAGCAAAAAGGAAACTGTTTTTGAGACAGGGTCTAACTATGTATCACTAATTGCCCTGGAATTCACTATTTAGACCAGGCTGGCCTTGACTGGGAAGGTTTGCCTACCTCTGACCCCAAGTGTTGAGATGAAAGGCATGTATTACCACACCCAGCATGAAACTTATTATACTGGTCATGAGTCAAGGTGGGAAAATGATAAAAGCATCATAGCAGCTCCATGTCTTGCCCTAGATGGATTTTGCTCACATGCAATAGATTCTCTGGCTCTCTTGGCATTTAGGTTTGCCCCCCCCCATATGAAGCCTGATCTCAAGATGTCTCTGAGTTAGTTGTATTTGCAACTTTCTCTTACACTTTCCCAGGCCTCAAACTGTGTTAGCCTTTAGAATTTTCTCAGGCTACCACCCCCTGCTAGAAAAGCTGGACATCGCAGGGCGTTGGTGGCACATGTCTTTAATCCGAGCACACAGAAGGCAGAGATAGGTGGATCCCTGTGTGTTCAAGGCCAACCTGGGCTACAGAGTGAGTTCCAGGAAAGGCACAAAGCTACACAGAGAAACCCTGTCTCAGAAAGAAAAAAGTAAAGAAAAGCTGGACATCAGGAGAAAAACAATGGGCATTATTTATGCTTACATGTTTATTGTTACCCAAATTCAACGTTGCTCATCATCAACTTTTGGTGGAAATTATTTCTGTGGTTTTACTTATTTGCCTCCAAATGTCATGACAGAGTAATTCAGGCGTAATAGAATACAGCATCCACCTTTCCTCTCTGTGGTCATCTGTTGCTAAATCACAATGACACAAAGTCTTATCCTTTCATGTATTCATTTATTCCCCAAGCACTGGCTATGCTTACAGATGGAGGGATCCTTGCTTTAGTAGTGGGGTCCTCTGTGGACTGTCCTCAGCAGAGGGCCACATGTATGGACAGGGTCTATGTATGGAGTCCTGTCTAGGATAAGGCTTTAGGCTTTACTCCCAGATGGTCAGGGAATACTGGAGTTTCTTAGCTCTAAAGGGTATGACCACAGTTAGCAGTGACCAAGAAGCAGCCCTACAATCAAAAGCATCAGTGAAGAGGCTGAGGCAGTGACCTGAATAAAAAGATGAGACAAAGATTAAGACAGTACAAGAGAAAGGAGACAGAACTCAGACACATCTTGAATTAGCTTTGGCAACCCATAAGACATAAAGGGGCGTGAACCAAGACGTGAAGACTCAGGCATGGTCCAAGGTTTTCGAGTTCGTTTCAAACACCAAAAACATGACCCAAAATAGAAGAAAAAACTGTTGAATTTGGCCTCATCAAAATTAACTTTAGCTTTGCAAAAGAGTTGTTAGTAGAACAAAGAGATAACGAATGCACTGAGATAAAATATTTGCAAATCATATACCCAACAACAGATTTGTATCTAAAATATACAAAGAGCTCTCCAAATTCAACAATAGAAAAATTACAAATTAAAGCATGTACATAAGACATAAAAGGGGATATACAAATAGGAAATTAACACATAAAAGACATTTAAGATCATTAGCTATCAGGAGACATCAAAGGGAGATCACAACGAGATACTACTATATACCCATCAGAATAGGCAAAACAAACAACTCTGCATGCCGCCAAGGGTGTGGGGAACCCAGCTCCCTACCAGATCCCTGGTAAGAGCATAAATGGCACAGTGACTCTGAAAAACACTTCGGCAGTTTCTTATAAAACTAAACATATTAGGGAGGCGGGGCAGATAGATCTCTGAGTTCAAGGCCAGCCTGGTCTACAGAGTGAGTTCCAGGACAGCCAGGGCTACACAGAGAAACCTTGTCTCAAAAAAAAAGACAATTAAATGTACACTATGTTCATACAAAACCCTAAATGTGAGTGTTTATAGAAGCTTTATTCATAATAGCCAAAAAGCTCAGGTGTCCTTCAGTGGATTGGTGGTTAAACAGACTATTAACGCATGCACAGGTATTTCATGAACATAACTTTGATGGGTTTTTTACACTTATTAATTATAAAAAGTAAAGTGTTTCACTGGCATTTTCATACACATGTATCATATATATTAATCATATTCAGCCTTATCACCTTCTTTGTCCCCCCTTTGGATAGATCTTAAGGGCAGTACAGTGAGTAAAAACGCCAGTCACAAAAGTTTATGTCCTATAATAGCCCATTTATATAACATTCTGGAAATGAAACTATTTTAGAGATGGAAAAACGTTCACGGTTGTCAAGGCTTAGAGAAGGTGAAGTGGGAAGGATGGAAATGACTAGATTTTAAACAGGTAGAAAGAGGAAAGAGTTATATTGTGATGCAATAGTTCTGAATCATGTTTGGAATAAAGATTACATGACTCTACACTTGTGATAAAATCGTATAAACTGTATATGTATTAACACACAAGTACATATCAGACTCATGAAATACGAATATTATCTATGAATTATGTGAACGTCAACTTCCTAGTTTTGATATGAACAACAATCATGTAAGATGCTAACTGAAAAAAACCTGGTGAAGGCTACATGGGCCCTCCCCATACTGTAGCTTTTGTTGTTGCTGTTATTTGCAACTTCCTATGGATCTGTACTGCTTGATTCTATTTATATGGCATTCCTTTTTTGTTTTTTGTTTGTTTGTTTGTTTTCTTTTTCGAGACAGGATTTCTCTGTGTAACAGCTCTGCATGTCCTGGAACTCACTCTGTAGTCCAGGCTGGCCTCGAACTCACAGAGATCCACCTGCCTCTGCCTCCCGAGTGCTGGGGTTAAAGGCGTGTGACACCACCGCCCAGCTTCTTATATGGCATTCTTGAAAAGACAACACTATATTGACAGAGAACACATCAGCAGCTGCCAGGTAGGCAGGAGGATACGACTGCAAAAGGCTGGCACTGAGGGCTTTGGGGGCTAGGAAACATCTGTGTCATTAACATGTATATGTGTTCAAAATCAGCTCTGTGCGTTGAAGAAAGTCAATGTTACTATAGATTAATTTTTAAATTACTGAAGTAGAACTCAATCATAGAACACTATCCTAGCATGCACAGGGGTCAGGATTTGATCCCCAGCACCAAACACTAAGTAAGATTTTCTTTAAAGTAGAAAAGCAACTGTTTTTTTCTGATTACGTCCTTCTTTCCTTCCTCTTCCACTCATCCATCATTCTCCATCTACTGTGTACCTGCTGGTGTGAGGCACGCTGTGCTAGATTTTGGAACTCAAAGTAGAACAGTATTCTTCCTGTTTCTAAGGACAAGCATGCAGTAGAATTTGGACTCTGGTGTTTCTACTCAAGGAAATGGAACAAGGAGAAGATTGACCAAGGACCAAGTGAAGAAACTTTTTTTTCGAGACAGGGTTTCTCTGTGTAGCTTTGGAGCCTGTCCTGGAACTCACTCTGTAGCCCAGGCTGGCCTTGAACTCACAGAGATCCGCCTGCCTCTGCCTCCTGAGTGCTGGGGTTAAAGGTGTGTGCTACCACCACCCGGCTGAAACTGATCACTTTTAGAGCCTGGTCCTGTGTAGTGCTTTTCCAAGAGAACTCTTGGGCCTGAGGGAAAGGGAAGGCCCATTACTCCATACTGCATAGGTACCCACAAGAGAAAATGCCCTGTTAAGAAGTACAGAAAAGTTAGGGTAGAAGAAGATTTGATGTAGTTAACTGTTAACTCTGAAAAGCGTTACCTGGACGTGCACATGAGAATGTATGTGTGTGTGTAAAAACAACCATTTGTTTTGTTCATAAATCTGGACTGGTGATGGAGCTGGGATCAGCTGCGTGGTGGTTCTGGTTTGGCCTGGACCCACCCCATATCAGCAGTCATCTGGTGGTCAAAAACCCTGCTGATTTGTATACTGCTTTCCAGAATGACAGGGGTGCCTAGGCCCTTTGTCCCTCATCATTTAAGGTTTATTCACATAAAAAGGGTCACAGCATTCCCACTCTCAGCAAGAGAACTGGCCCCAAAATATAACTACTTATTTTCTTCTTCACAGCTCTATTGAGGTATGTCATTCATATATGTTACCTGAATCTGAATTCTGTTTTCTCTCCTGTTTGCAGGGAATCTGAAGCATGTGGTCTAGTTGACAAAAAGAGATCAGGTTTCCAGAGCTGGGAAGCAGTGCCTATAATGAAGACAGTGTGTTGATGCAAGCAGTTTGTGGAATTTGTGACTGCAGGGGAAATTTGGAAGAAATTACTTCCTGAAAATTTCCAAGGGGCACCAAGTGGCAGCTGGCCTCCTGGGGTGAGGAGGCAGGCACCCCAGAGCCAGGCCTAGGGGGAAGAGGGAGATATCCAACATTTAAAGTGTTTATTTTAAAGCATACACACAAATGCAGTTTTTAATCTTTCAAAATTATTTTTAAGCAAGTTGGGGAGGGGAGTATTTTTATCTTCTTAAAGGGGACAAGTCAGAAGTTACAAGAAGGTGGGATTGGGGGGTGGGCAGCAGACAGGCAGGTTTGGACCCCAGGGCCATCTAGGTAGAGTTTGGGGTGGGGGGGCGGCTATCAGCAGACCGGGAGGGAAGAGGAGTCTACCAGTTTTGTTTTAGTATTATGCACTCAAGTTGTTTCTAATAAAATCTTCAAAATCCCAGCTCTGTCCACTGTTCTCACTGCCACTGAGAGCACACATAGTTCTGAACTTTCCCTGGCACCTTTTACTTCCACATTCTGCCCTGGCCAGCCTAGGACCCTCACCGTAAAATCTGGACCCTCACCGGGAACTCATGTGTCCTCTGCCCAGATGACCAGCTCTGTCCTACGCTGGGGCCTGTCCATGAAAAGGAAGGTGCAGGGTTGTAAGCTCTGTGCCTATGAAAAGGGGCTTGTTGCACTCTGAGGAGGAGCTTGCCCTGCCAAGGATTCAGGGATAAGAACTCGAGGTCTCAGGGGCCATTTCCATGGGTAGACAGGACACTTCCAACTCAAGTGTAGACTGTTGATACACATGACCAGTGGCGGTGTCACCTGGAAACATGGTACACTAGTGACGAAAAGACAACCATTCAGCATGATTTTCTAACCAAATATTCAGTAAGTTCTTTCAGCCCCTGTGACAAGCCTAAGAGACACAAGCACAGCCGAGGCCTGGCCTTGGGCAAGGGGAAGAGAAAGCAAACACACGCACAAAGCTGGGGCTTCGCTAAACTGAGAGCAACTGGCACGGGCCAGCGGGCCGCCAGCAGCATGTCTGAAGGCATATTGAACTTGAATTTCCCCAGGCAAGCAAGAGCATTCCACAGAAGGGAGTGAGAAAGCCTCGAGTGTGTCCCGAGCTGGGAATAGCCATGCTTTTATTAAACAGTGAGGGGGTCTGGTGGACTAGTCACTTCAAATGTCCGCTGTTCTATTTATCCACTCCGGGCTTAAGGCAGTTTGGCTTACACTGAAAAGAATGAGGATTTCAAAGAGTTGAAGAGTCGGGGGGGGGGGGGCACGGAATGGGCAGGTGCCAAAGTTTGCCCTCTCCAAGGTTTGCTTAGCCCCCTTTCAGTTTCCCATTCCAGTCCTTTCAAGGGGACCGACCTCCAATGTCCCTGAGAAGGCCTTAGTCCTCAGGGGCAACCACCTGGTAAAAACAATGGCTAGCTAGTACCCTGTGGCCTTTGCAGTGGGAATGGACCTGGTCAAGGATATGCCTCCAATATGGAGAGACTAGGAAAAGGTTCTGGGAGCCTTTTGCCATGGGACCCCTTCTTCTGGCTAGGCTGGCACTGCCAGTTCGGCCTCATTTCTGGCCCAACAGGATCCAAAATACCTACTGAGCTGATGAGCTTCTGCACAGGGGTCTCGGGGTTGCCATGCATTGCTTTCCTAGCGGATATGCTGGCCTGGAGTGCAGTTCAGTGGCAGGGCATTTGCCCAGCATGGACAGGGACCTGGGTTCTGTCCCTTAGCACATCAAAAAGAGGAGAGGAGAGGCAAGAGAGGACAAAGGAGAAGGAAGGGGCGACAGAAAAAAACAGGAAAGCATTAGGTAAAAAAAGAACAACAGGTAAAACCAGGAATCACTTAGAATTTACAAAATAAACTTGAAATACCCAAAGGTAGAACCATCATCCACAAAACCAGCACAGCAGGTTAAGAACTGCTCTGTGCCAGATTATAAAGGCACGAAGGCAGTAATGGCTATGAGGGAAAGCACCAAAACGTAAACTGAGATGGCTTTTGTGGACTAGGAAATCAGAAGATGATTTGTTTTGCTTTTGTGCTTTTTCCCCCTATTTTTTCAGATTTCCTCTAGTGAATTACATTTTATTTTTACAATAGAAGAATAGGCTTGGGTATAGCTCAGTGGCAAAATGCCTGCCTACTATCCATGAGGCCCTGGGTTCCACCCCTAGTCCCACAAATAAAGTAATAAGCTAAAAATGAATTGCTTGTTTGAGCAGCACTAATTAAACTGTCAGTCACCAAAAAAAAATAGTAAGAAGAGACTTGTTAGAAGGGGTTCAGTTGGAGGAATGGGGAATAAAAGGGTGATGGGGTGAATGTGATCAAAATACATTATGTACACATATGAAATTGTCAGAATAAATTTTTAAATTTTTGTAAATGGTATTTATCTCATCCTCTCAGAGAAAGATCAAAGTCAGTTGGAACCTACCACTGTACAGATTTGTGCTCAGCCTCAGGGCTGTTCTTACTGCCCAGGAGGCTCTGAGTACAGCCCCAGGAGAAGTGGGCTCCAGGGTAAGGCAAGTGTATACTGGTGCGAGCTTGCCCTCTCGTCAGCCAAAGACTGCTGTCCACCTGTCTACTGCAACACTAAATTCAAACCCAGTGACTCTAGTTAGAACCATGAGGCAACCATTAGAACGCACCCCTTCTTATGGATCATTTCTACTTGAAGTATGTCTTCTTTCCTACTGGATAGGTACTATCATACCCACTTTAGAGATGAGGAAACTGAGGCTACAAACCCATGAGAATTGCCCAGTAGTGAGGGGGAGAGAACAGCCCTAGCCAGAACTGCAAGCTCCCTTACTTTTTCCATGGCCCCACACTAGTGCTACTAGAATATTTTTTAAAGTGTGACTTTGGAGTAAACAACTTTCTGATTGCTTACAAAGTCCATGCTGGATCAAGGCACACACCACTCCTGGGTCCTCACCCTACCACAAATACATGAACCAGTCCTGCTCTTCAGCAAGGTGCTCGGTCTTACAGGCTCCGTTTCCTCACATGGAAAGTAGAGTAAATTCATTCTGTACTTCATGGGCTCTTGTGAGGGGCTACCGACTTTTCAAAGATAGGAGCATCTGAAAAGAGCCTCAAAAACTGATTATAGGCATGTGCCTATAATCCAGTACTTGAGAGGTAGAGGCAGTGGTTCAAGGCCAGCCTGGGCTATCTGAGAGCCTGCATGAAAAAGCCCAAATATTGTGCATATGAGGGCTTCCACTGGCCCCCCAAGCACATGCCAGGGCCCAAGAGACTCTAAGAAAACTTTAGGGTGTGTCTACAACTTGAGGGTTAAGAAAAATAGCCATCTTAAAAAGAATATATGTGTGTAAAGCCCTGGAGTCAATTCCCACCACTGAAGAAAAAGAACATATATATATATATTGGATATGCATGTATTTGCATAAAACCTCTTTGAAAAAACACACAAGAAACTGGGACACTTCAGTTGCCTCCCGGCAGTGCAAGCAGGTGGCAAGTGGCTGGGGAAGAGTGAGGTAGACTTGCACTGTTTCTTTTTGTACCTTCTGATTTTTTAACCATGTGGATGTATTACCTGGTCCCTGAAAAAGTAAATAAATAAAATTTACAAATAAGAAAAAAGCCAGCGGAAGATTCCCAAGCCCCCTTACCTTTGGGAAGAGTGACTGTACCTCTGCTCCATGCATTGTGAGCTGTCACAGAGAGAGCAGTATATTTCCAAGTCTGTATTTAAAGGACTTTTGCTCGGGCAGAAAGACTTCTTTATTAGAAAATCAAATATTGTCAATCAACAGACAAGGGAAGATAGAAAAAGAGAAAGGCGAGGAGAAAGAAGGCAAAGGAATGGAAGCAGCTAGCTGGCTGAACCCCTTCCCAGAGGGTTCCTGCAGCCATTCCGCTGCTCGATTTGCCAGGGCCAGGTCCTATACCCCATGCTCAGTGCCGAGCCCACAGGTGCCCAGGAGAGCCTTGGCAAGCAGCACACCTCATACTGCCTAAATGTGAGCGTCTCTCTGACACTCATTAGCTCTGGGACCTTGTCCAAGTAACCCACTCTCTCTGAGCCTCGGCTGTATTATCTATCTCCAGGGAGGGAACTGTCTGTGAGGGACACACACACTAATAATAACAATAACAATAACAGACCCAGGTACAAGCCTATAGCCCCACTTACCGCAGAGACGGAGGCAGGAGAATCATCCTTGGGGATAGAGTGAGTTTAAGGCCAGGCTGAGCTAGAGACTATCTCAAAAAGGAAAAAAAAAGGCAAGAAAAAAATGAGAATGGGGAAGAAGAAAAGAAATAGAAGGGAACCAGGAGAGAGGAAAGTAAGAAAGGAAGGGGAAAACTGTCAACAATCTGCAAAGCACAATAACAACATGTTGGGTTAGGGCTTTTTTTTTAAAGTCTCATCTGCTACAGATACAAGCAAAAGTGTTCACATGTGAAATAATGTATCTTGGGTTCAGTTTTAAATACTCTGGAGGAGAAAATGTATGCTGAGGGAGATGAAACAAAATATGAAGAAGGCTGATCACTGCTGAACTATGTTGCATTATTACTACACTCTCCACTTTTAAAAAAATTCTAGTAACAAAAATAACCTTAGATGTGAGGCCAGAGAGACAGCAGGAAAGTGCTGGGCTTGGTGGTACATGTCTGTAATGCCAACACTGGAAGGCAAAGGCAGGGGCATCCTGGAGACTCACTCACTGGCCAGCAAGCATAGTGAAAATGACAAGTTTCTGCCTCAGTAGAAGACCCTGTCTTACTGGGCTGCGGTGGTGCACGCCTTTAATCCCAGAACTCGGGAAGCAGAAGCAGGTGGGTCTCTGCGTTCGAGGCCAGCCTGGTCTACAGAGCGAGTTCCAGGACAGCCAGGAATGTTATACAGACAGACCCTGTCCCAAAAGAAATAACCAAACAACAACAACAACCAAAAGACCCCATCTCAAAAAAAAATTGGAGAAATAGTCAAGACATTGCAACCGCAGCCACACACAGACATGCATACACACAGAGAAACACACATACACCCCAAAAGAAACATCTAACACCACATCTGTTACTGTACTTAGTAGATGAGTGATCATTTTCCATACACCCCCCCCAAAAAAAGTTTTCTGCCAAAGTAAGTTGTCTTTCCAGAGAGCCAATGCAATCCTCAGCAAAAAGAATAAGGCTGGAGGTATCATCATACCTAAGTTCAAGGTATACTACACAAACAGCGTAGTACTGGTACAAAAGACAGGTATGTAGACCAGTGGGAGAGAAGACTCATAGCTATAGTCACCTGATTTTTACAAAGATAAACATTTTGATTTTGCCAAAAACAGCCGTATCTTAGTTACTGTTGCTGTGACAAGACAGCCTGACAAAAGAAACGGAAGGAAGGGTTGATTTGGGCTCACAGTTCAAGATTACAGT